CTGCGCAGTTACTCCGGAAAACTTTTCATACCCCTGTCACATGGACAGTGCCCCTCCTTGCTGAGAAAGAGAAAAAGAGAGTGCTAAGCACCACTGTGCGTAAGTGGTTATTTTCTCTCAGAGTAGTATTTTGCGCTGTAAAATAGAATTCAAGTTGAATAAAAACCAACTCGCCCGACTCTTAATTAGGCCTTCATCATGCGAAAAACCACGGTCTTTAACCTTTTCTCGGGTCCGGTGGGTAAAGCTGTGGGGTAAGCTTAGAAGCTGAGCTTCCGACTGTGCTTGAGTCCACGGCTTTATTCTTCGCTGCTTTGCGAACTGCTGCCATCATTTCTAGTCATTGTATGAAGGCTGATAAGATTTACCAGACACTGAAGCGCAAACCTCTTTGTGGCGCTTCTAGTGCGGCAAAACTAAAACAGTTAAATAGATTTGTCACAATCATCGGCTCACAGCAGCTTCGATAAAGCAGCAATGAGGCTATTCATTTTTTTATTAAAGAAAACAATTTTCCTGAAGCAGCAAATGCTCTCACTGGTCCATAAAATTATTTCTCTTTCACATCCATAACAAACAAGAACAAGACGATTTCGCGCGTTGTTCTTTAGCCCACTTTGCAATGCTACAGTACAAGGCGCGAAAGAGTCGCATAGGCGACCCACGTCGCAAGCAACAATCAAGGACAATCATCACAGCAAAATTTAGGAAACATATTACTTCAATACAACATTTACTGGTAACATTTTCATTTCCTCGTAAAAATAAAATTGAGTGATTACTGTGGTGATGTAAAATTTTGCCTTAGTTGTTGCTTTCCCCAGCGTGCAACTGACAGTGACCACAGTCAAAAGTGGGGGGTTCGCGCCCCTCTTGCCCCCCTCTCCCACCCCGGTTGGTACGCCTATGCCTCTGGCGAAACTGCGATACGCCACCTGGGAATTCGTGAGGACAAAGGTGTCGTTTGGTTTACGCATAGCTAAGGCTATATGATACCGGCCTCTTCTATAGATGTGATGTCTATTCCGGTAGGTGATATGCAGTCCATGACCTGTACCCTGTTATCCATGCCTGCTGTGGCGTGGTTGTACAGGGGTCTGGCGGCATTCAAAAAGAAGGCCTCTTCCAAATCCAAATATTTGTCGTATACTTTGGCTCTGGCAGCTCATCTCTTTTTGTGATGGACGAGTGCAAATTGTGTGGCAAAGGCCGAATAGGGACTTCATTTTGCTATTCTTGTGGTAGGGATAGTTTAATGATTACCTTCATTGGTGGATTTATGCTGAGAGCGTCCAGCGTGGCGGGACCTGCCTTGGTACGTGCGAGCCGTATCACTTGGTTCGTGTGATGAGCTTGGAATAGGTCTGCCTCTGGAACGACGAGAACACGCATGGGCAATAATATTAACGCAAGAGTGTTAACAAAAGGCCGACAAAGAGCTTGGAAGAGCTCTGGCTATGGAACGACGAGAACACGCATGGGCAATATTAACGCAAGAACCTTAACAAAAGGCCGACAAAGGCAGCGTTGACCCAATGAATGCAAATACTTAATGTAAAGAATAAATGAATGCAAATAATAAATACCGAATGCAAAGAATAAATGCCGAATTTTAGTTAGATAGTGGAAGCTGTTGGGTGTCCGATGAGGAACATTTTGCCATAAAAACTTTTTGAATCGTTTCATCACGAGTGGAGAAAACAGGTTTTTTGAAGCGGCGTGAAACGACGATGAGAGGATGCGAGCTCGAAAGCCTTGCCGCTCCTCCGCGTAGCCTTCGCAAGCTAAATCTCTTCCCCACCCTCTCCGGCATCCGACCAAGAGGCGACGTGCGCATGACGTGCCCAAACAAGTCCAACCCCCGAGCACGCGACCAGCGTTGCTTTGTTGACCAGTGTTATTTTGTGGTCTTTTGCCTGTTTTCACGGTATAGGGGCTAGAATTTCTACGGGATGGTTTGGAAACACTGGCCTAGACGCGGTAGATGAGCACAATGAGTGCGCGAACGCGTAGTAGCGTTTCACGGCGGTCGTCTGCTCAATGCGCAGACCGCGGGGACACGTACGCATTCGAAACGCTGGTACATTAGCCCTGCATCTCGTAGCATTTCACGGGAAAAAATGAAAGAAAAACGCGCACAATTTTTATTGCGTCCCGTTATTTATTTCAAGGTTTACTAATATCTTAAAGCAACAAATACATTAACTACGCATGTTGTGTTAAATAACTTTTGCCATGTCACGTGGTATGCTGTTGACAACGTCGGAGCAGAGTCGTCTACGTAGAGGACCAACAACGTCATTGCATTGTCGTATACGTAGGGCCATTCCTACGCCCACGTCATGCCCTCATCATTTATAGGCGTGTGCCAGCAGAGGGGAGGGGGAGCAGCGTTCATCATGAAATATGACTCATTTCCGCGACGCGTAGCGTTGCAAATTTTGGCAGACGTGATCATGAACGCCTCGTCTATGCATTGCGCTTGTCAGCTCAAAATCGTCACACCGTGTGAGTACAAAAGGGGGGGGGGGGTCGAACAAGGATGTACAAAGGCAATTACAGACCAAGAACATAAAGTAGGATACAATTCAAGAAATGGAATTACAGGGCAACAATAATAACAGAAATTGCTATACAACTAATAGCATGTTTCAAAGTGGCATAAAAATGAGAGGGAAACTGGCTACACACAGAAATTACGACGGTGCGGTTGTAAAATGAGTTTCAAGTAAGGTTTTTAAACTTCAGCGTATTACGTTCATTGGCTATTGCATTTGGAAGCCAATTACAATCCTCAATTGTTAATGGGAGAAAAGATTTGTTAAAAGCGTTGGTTGAACCTTTTAAATTTTGGACACTCAAAGAATTTAAGAGACTGCACGAAGTTCGAATTGGTGGGAGAAGCAGGGAGCCATGTAAGTAAGAATAATTTAAATACAATTTGTGAAATAAACAAAGTCGTGCTATTTTTGCCTAAGATCCAGAGAGGTGAGAGACAGTAATGATTTTATAGTAGTAACACTTGTGCGGAAATTGTATTGGGAGGTTATAAAACGAGCCGCGCGATTTTGAATGGCTTCAAGGGCGTCTAATAAATAGGATTGGTGTGGATTCCAAATTGGAGAGGCCTACTCGAGTTTACTACGGACGTAGGTTTCGTAGGCGAGTTTACGAACTAAGGCCGGTGAGCAGGACAGGGATCTTCTAATGAAACCAAATGTTTTGGATACATTGGCAGTAAGCTTGCGATATGGTCCATCCATGTTAGTTTGCTGTTGATGAGAACACCCAGGTATCGGTATGACTCTGCTATAGCGAGATGGTTAGACTGCAGGGAATAAGTAAAATGTAAGTTTGAACGTTTACGGGAAACTTGCATAGATTTATACTTAGAAATATTAAGTTGCATCATCCATAAAGAACAGCAATTTTGAATTATATTTAAATCATTTTGGAGGGCAAGTTTATCAGAGCCATCACATATACGCTGGTACACGACACAATTGTCGGCAAAGAGGTGTATCAGAGATGTAACACTTGAGGGAAGGCCATTAATAAAATTTAGAAAGAGGAGAGGGCCAAGGATGAAACCTTGAGGTACGCTAGATGTTACATTTGTAGTCTAGGAACGGTGACCTCCGATGACTGTGTATTGGGATCGATTAGTGAAGAACGCTTGTATCCATGACACTCATGCCCCATATCACTTCTGGTGTTGATATAATACTGATGTTCCTATTGGCATTGTTGTGCCAGTGCAAACAACTGGTCATATAAACATCTGCAACCGTCGAACATGCCTGTGAGCGCAACATTTGCACATATACTTAGCGTCATTTTATAAGAGTGGAAGCTTGGATTTGTTGGTACGTAGTCATATTTTGCTAGTTTTTTCAGCGCGCGAACGTATGAAAAGAGGGGACAGGTTAAATAACGTGTCGCTGAGTAAAAAAAAGAAATGTATAACACGGTCACCTTCCCTCCGCATGCTTCGCATAACGTCGATTCCCAAGATGCATGGAATCTGTCGAATGTTTCTATCCTTCGTGTGTTTCTTTGTATCTCTTTTCTTCATTTTTGTTTTCTCATTTTCTTTTTATATCGTATTGTTTTTCTATAATTTTTATGTTTCTCTCTGTTTTATAGTTTTATGTCTTTATTCCCATCGATTCACTATACATTCCTCTTCCTTTATGTTCCTCAGTAGGTAACGGCGCTCGGCTTCGTTGCACTCCCACACCTCCCGTACTCGGTTGGGGTGCTTCCTGTGTTGCCTTCTCACCTGAGGAATTTCACCCGATAGAACACAGAATAAGCCCAGTTACTTTCAGTGAACCGAGAATGAAGAAAGGACGTGCTGGTTCGTGATGATAATAGGCGTGCGCATGGGGGGAGGGCGGCTGCCTTTCTTAGGAACCAAAGAGGAGAGGGGGAAAATCAGCTTTATGCATTAACATAATGGGGAGGTGGCGCTGTTGCTCAGATGGGGTGGGGGGAGGGGGTATTGTTTGCTTCGTACATTGTCATAATAGTGAGGGGGTGAAGAAGAGCGCTGTGACAAACATGACCCCCCCCCCTCCCCCAGCCTTCTAAGGGGAACCCTGTGCACGCCTATAGCGATACGGAGCACCAGTTCCGCATAGCATCAACAGTTACTCAGTGTGGCAGTATGCGCAGCCCGGGTCCGCGGGCACGAGAAGTTTAACTTCGTTGTCCGACAAAATAGCGCGAATCTGGAGTTCACAAACTTTCAAAAAGCGCGCCCTAATTCTCAAGTGACGCCAAGTGATGCCCCCATCAAAAATTTCAACGTTCCTTCGGTTACAGCAATTGAAAAATAATTGATAAATTTATTTACACGTTTCTGGGAATTTTAGTTTTTTTTTGTCACGTGTGTAACTGGTGTAACACGTTGGATGCAATCCAAGTCAATCCAGCTTGCGGATGGATACAAAACAAAGGTAGCTTAAGTTACCAGTTTTGTGTTTATGCACGCATTGTAATGTGTGCCGTCTAGTTAAAAGCGCTAGAGGACGTGTTCTGTTTGTAGTTGTGTCTCGCTTGCACAAAATAGGCTTCAAGCTGAAAGTGTGCGTTAGGAGCGTTTTCTCTGGAGAACTATTTTGTTGGCGGTGAAAAAGTTGCGCGTTGCGGACGGATCCCAGGTCACTCGCTGGTAACTTGCAGCGAACGCACTGGCGAACGTTTGTTTGCCTGTCAGCTCGAAAAGTGTACGTGAATGCTGTGCTGAATGCTTGATGCCGTCGTCTGTGTCCCCTGAAGCCATCTGCGGAGCTCCACCAGACACCTAATCGCAGAAGAAAGGTGAGTGTGGTGGGAAACGGGCCATCCGATCATCCGGATTGAGGGAACAGGTGATAAGGCATCGACGATTATGTGCGCGCGTGCAATCAATCTTTTCTTTTTTTCTTTCGCATTTTTCGTTGCTACTTCTCGGCGCTGTTACCACCCGTTGTTTTGTTACGACGAGCGAGGACGTTCGCGTCGACGAGGGCTTTCGCGAAGAGCGCCGAACTGTTTTCGGGCGTAGAACGTGGGTCGTGGCGTCAACCGGTTTACGATTCACCATCGCGCACCGCTTGTCCGTTTGACGGCCCATCGCTTCCGCAGCGATCGCCCGGGAATACGCTTCATAAACCTGTCGAGCAAGCGCTGGAATACGAGAACTGTTATATCGAATGTGCAGTGAAAATCGCGGATCTGCATTTCCTCTTGGATTCTTCCAGTTGGAACACGGCCAGCAGAAATTCTATTGAGGACGTTTTGAAGGAAAGCACGTCACTCCAGTGAACGCCAATCCGGTAAAGTGTATTGCCGATGCATTTGGGAAGTGTGTACTGTGGTGCACCGTGCTTGAGGTGAGGGACGCTGTGCTTGGATGCGAGCTCGCGTGTGAACTCACGTTGACGGGCTGTCTGCATGCGAAAGGAAATTGCGCTGACGGCCGCGTTATTTCACGCCCTGTCAGTGCAAGCGTAGTTGTTTTGTTCGGAGCACATGCTTGATCCTGGTGCGCAGAGCTTTCTGGCGAGCTCGTCTGCGGGTCGAGGGGTGTCTTGATGGGAACTTTGAGTCATGCAAATGCAGCTGACGTCTCGTACAAAATCGGTAACAAAGAAAGCGAGCCCTTAAACTTGCGCTGCTTTCATTTGTGACTGATTCCCCGTAGGGAGCTCCGACTGTCGCTCCTGCCTCCTTGTAGGAAGGCCTGTAGCCAGTATTATTTCTTGTTCTAATCGCCGTGTGTTTGTACAAGCGCAAACTGTGCCACAACGCGAGTTGGCAGGAAGCGACCTCGGGTCGAGATGGATGCTTGCCGTTTCAAACGTGTGGCGTGTTGGGGAGCCACCTGACATCGCGCATTGGGATGAATCTGGAGTTGACGAGGAGCAGAGAACTTTTTTCGTTACCCCAAACAGACCTCCTCGCGCAATGAGCGAACACTGCGAGACCCCCTAATCGCTGCCGTTGCCACTTATTTCAACGACGAGTCCAGCTCAAGCGTTCGTCGACCGCGGCGGCCTGTTGTCGTCGGGCGGTCAAGTGTGACGACAATATCCCCGTGTGGTGGTGAACCCTCTTCCGTGTTTGTTGACGGCCTTGGTGTGGCATTCCCATTGACCGCGGAGGAGAGGTGCGACTGACGGCATTGTGGTACACAAGGAAATGGATTTGCCTGGCGAGTCGATCGTCGTGAATTCTCATCATCCAGTGCAGGACGAAGGCCTCACCCGATGATCCATCCTCTGCGAGCCGGTTCCGCTTCTCACTTTTTAGCGCACAAAACGATGCGCTCTTTGTCCTTTTGCGGCCTGAAAAGTGATATTACTAAGCATACACTCTTTCGTGACTCCATCCCTGGGAACTGCATCTAACTCAGCCACATTTCTTATCCCTTGGCAACCGTTCTGTTGCTATTAGCATCCACTGGTTACTTGTTCTACGTGGCCAGTCCAGGTTCATTCCTCTCGCTCGATATCAATTGGGATGTCTAGTACCCTTCCTGTCAGTTCCCTGACGCATTCTGCTGTACTCCGAATGTTATTCCTATCATATTACGTTCCACTGCACAATGCATGTTCGACATTTTGCTTTGTGGTCCCATATGTTGCAACTGGTGGGATGCAGTGGTTGTGTACATTTTGCTGTATTAGTAGTGGCAGATATGCTTACATTATTTGGTGGTGCCTGCCTAATTCACTCCAGCCCTTAGTGAAAATTTTGCTGGACAAGTTAGTGGTGCAACACTCTTAGTGCAAAAGTTCAAAAACAAAATAATTCGGAAAGGAGGAGAAAAAGACACTGGGCTAGGGCTAAACATTAACTGACTTCACTTTGAAAAATATCACAGATCCCTGCATCACTAATTAAGTATCAAATAAAAAAGAGTATATTCTTTTTTGAATAAAGAAATAGACATGTGGGTAATGCACTGCAGACCGTTGTTCTTATTGTCACAAGCTTCCAGCAACTCTTCTTCCCACAGTACTTCTACCAAGAATCTCTGTTTTCTTCTCCTTTCCGAGTTCTTTCATTTTATACTTTTGTGCTAAAAGATATGTTGTGCAATATTTATTGGTGAATTTTCTTCTCCTGATTAGGCTCTCTTTTTAGTAGGTATACATTCTGTATGCATTCCAGTGTACGATTTACAATCATGAATTATTTTCTACACCAGATTATTGGGCATGTCTGTTTGTGATATTCATGTTTAGGCTTGTTTCAAAGTTTCCTCAGTTTAATTCTTCAATCATGTCTTGCTATCTATAGCCATCATTGCTTAAGAGTGCTGCGTCATCTGTAAATTGCTGAGCCATTCGTTGTTAACCTTCATTGCTGCTCTTTTGAAGTGTCGCTGTTTAAACACTCCTTCTGAGCATGCAGTAGGCAAAATGGGGGATAAGCAAAAAAAAAAGGGGGGGGGGGGCAGAAGTTGAGGGGAAGCTTGAAGACATAAGGAAGCATCCTAGGATGGGGTTTCGCTGGAGGTGACATTTCAACAAGCTGTGAAGTCTATGCAAATGTCATCTCGGGCAGTGGCTTGTGTGCTCCTTGTGAATTTTATGGTCACTATTAATGTGCACCAGTGTGTGACATACTGGTGGTGTCATCTGCCCTTTTATTTGTATAAAGATTACTCATTCTGGTCTTGAAATAGCTGGTCATCACTTAGTGCGCGTTCGGCTGGTGCCTTCTATACGCCCCGTCCCAGCAGACAACTTCATGCTTTTAAGATGGCTGGTGTATCCACTGGGTTGAGTGGCTGTTCATTGTCTATGAAGGCTAAATGAAGGGGATTGTTGTATTCAGCAGCTTTCCCAGATACCTGATTGATCCCACCTACCCAAAACTGACTTACTCTCCAGGTCGTGCTTCTCTTATGGTGTATGAAATTACCTTTGTAAACAGTTTGCATATCATCAAAAGTAAGCTGACAGCCCTATCAGTATTTTGGGTCTCTTGTGTATTAGTATAATGTTGGCATTTTTACAGCTCACTGGGACTGTTGCTTCAATCTTCTATAAGATTGGCCATTATTTCGTTATTTTGCGCTGCTTTTTTGAGTGGCATATCACATATGACTTTTTTAACCTCATTAATAGTTACGTATAGTTACGTATGGAACTTCTGTATCTCGCTCGTGACATCCAATCAAGGGCAAGTGACTTTTCAGCAAACCTGTCTGAAGGCAAGTATTATAACCACTTAACTGCATGCCCACGGCATGAATTTATGAGTAGTATATAACGTAGTTATTTAGTGCTTTGCAAGCGGTGAAGTGTTGCGATTTGGGGGAGCATCACTCACAGTATTTTTTTGCCTGCCTTTCAAGCTTTAAAGCTCCTCTGATTTGGGTGCACGTTAAAAACCCATGGTGGTCGAAATTTCCGGAGCCCTCCACTACGACGTCTCTCATAATCATATGGCGATTTTCGGACCTTAAATCCCACGTATCCATCAGGCTTCAAAGCCTAGGCAGACGATGAGGAAAAATGGCCCCTTTTGCATTTCACTCACAGCACGACGTCAAAGGCCATTTCCAATCACCGAGAGCTTCTCTCGGAGTTCAGGTTGCACACAGGTCCTTCAACCCCTTGAAAACCCCTGATATTGAAAATTTCATTTTTAAGGCCTTAAAAATTGTGGAACTTCGTTTCAATCCTTGAAAACCCTTGAATATGGCAAATTTTCACTGTGTCCGATCGTACGACTTGCAATTCATGGCAAGTTGGGTGCGGTCCTGGGCTAATCTATTGCTTATCCCGTTCCGTGACACCACAATTTCGAAATGGGCAAGGGTCAAGCCTCCTATATTAGATTGGTGAGATCGAGGCATGTGTACTCGGTTTGGCTTTGGTTAGCCAGAAGCCATAAGCTGATGGCCACTGTGAGGCTGCATCATCTCTGGCCACGGCCGAACTCTACTCCTTCTCCGGCGCTCCCCTTACGGCCTTCGCATTGGGGTGTTTTGCTGCCTGCCGCCGCAAGTTCGGGGTGGCGCTGCTACACCACTGTTGCTCCGCCGCCTCCAAGCGCGTTCACGGGCGCAGTATGCGCGCCACAGCGCTATGGCCATGATAACAGCGCTGAGTACGAGGAACAGAACCAACTGCGGCGCCTGAATTCTTGAAGATGAACGTTTTATCCACACAATACAGCTCGGTCGTTGCATGCGATGAGGTTAAAATGGTATAGTCGACCTCTGAGAGCACCGCTTACCCAGTCGCAACCATTCCGGCAGCTTTCCCGGATTTTCGCACACGCGTGTTGTCACAAGCAACAGTAATCCATTACAGCGCACAAAATTCAGAGAGAAAAGGCAATATTTATTTTGTCGTAAGGTGGACCAGAACTTAAATAAAAAACAATTTCTGTGCGAGGTGAGCACAAATACCTTTTTCTTTCAAACCCATGCTAGCAATACAAATTAACACAAACACAAATGCATGGTACAAATAAAGCGAACCTCCATGACATACTCGTCACAGTCTGAAATATTTTCTAGACGGCTTGTGCACATACGCAAGTGGTTTTTCATTTCTATCGCTCACCATTTTGGTGTAGTTAACGAGAAGTCTGATGAATTTGTCCGCAATTAAACGAGCTGTGCGCCTTGCGTGGCTGCTGTCTACACCCTCTGGGCAGAGGAGGACGGGTGATTGTTCGAGGTGTGGGGTAACCAGAAGTTGCAGCACTTCATGCACTTTTGTACGCGGAAGTTTGCTAGCAGCTTTTTCAAAGAAAGTAACAATGTTGTCCAACAGTGTCAAAAACATACGGTTTGGGTAGTGGAGTGCACTTTT